TAATACCGTCTAATGGTTCTAGGTTCTTTCATCCTCAGATTAATACCGTCTAATGGTTCTAGGTTCTTTCATCCTCAGATTAGAACTGTCTAATGGTTCTAGGTTCTTTCATCCTCAGATTAGAACTGTCTAATGGTTCTAGGTTCTTTCATCCTCAGATTAGAACTGTGTAATGGGTCCTAGGTTCTGACATCCTCAGATTAGAACTGTCTTATGGGTCCTAGGTTCTGACATCCTCAGATTAGAACTGTCTAATGGGTTCTAGGTTCTGACATCCTCAGAATAGAACTGTCTAATGGGTCCTAGGTTTTGACATCCTCAGATTAGAACTGTCTAAGCGGTTCTAGGTTCTGACATCCTCAGATTAGAACTGTAATGGTTCTAGGTTCTTTCATCCTCAGATTAGAAATGTCTAATGGGCCCTAGGTTCTTTCATCCTCAGATTAGAACTATAATGGTTCTAGGTTCTGACATCCTCAGATTAGAACTGTCTAATTGGGTCCTAGGTTCTGACATCCTCAGAATAGAACTGTCTAAGGGATCCTCGGTTCTGAAATCCTTAGATTAGAACTGTCTAATCGGTCCTAGGTTATGACATCCTCAGATTAGAACTGTAATGGTTCTAGGTTCTTTCATCCTCAGATTAGAACTGTCCAATGGGTCCTAGGTTCTGACATCCTCAGATTAGAACTGTCTAATGGGTCCTAGGTTCTTTCATCCTCAGATTAGAACTGTCTAATGGGTCCTAGGTTCTGAAATCCTCAGATTAGAACTGTGTTATGGGTCCTAGGTTCTGACATCCTCAGATTAAAACTGTCTAATGGGTCCTAGGTTCTGACATCCTCAGATTAGGCTTACTGTTGTGAAGTCAAATTAAAACAGCCAGAAGAACACAGGACTGTAACCCGTTCAAACGTCCTTCCCGGTTCGTTTGGATCGGGTTTAGTTCTGGTTCTTATCTACCCTCATTCTGTCCTGGTTTCTGTGTGATCCATCTCTCAGTTTCTGGTTTGTGTTTTCAGGGAGGTGGAGAAGGCGGTGCATGCCGCCCAGAGCCTCCATCACCGCTGGAGCGAGCTCCTGCAGGAAGGGGGCGGAGCCTCTAAGGAGGAGGTGGACTGGACGACCAATGAGCTGCGGAACAGCCTCCGCTCCATTGAGTGGGACCTGGAGGACCTAGACGAGACCATCAGTATCCTTCAGCTCAGGTCCGACGGTTCTGCTAATGTTCAGTTTGTCTCGGTATAAATTTGTTTCCCTGACGGTCCATGAAGGCATCGTGGAGTCCAACCCGAAGAAGTTCAACCTGGATGCTGCCGAGCTGACAAAGAGGAAGGCCTTCATCATCTCCACGCGTCGCACCGTGAAGGTAAATGCCGCCTAACTGGTCAGAGCAGCAGACGGTTCTAGAACTTTGAGTTTCTTTCCGGCTGCTGATCCGATCCTCTGTGTTTTACAGGAGATGAAGGAACAGATGTCAAGTCCTGCCGCTGGTTCCGACAGACACACCAAGCCGGTACTTGCTCACATCCTTCCACCTGATATCACACACATTGGCCAATCAGCTGCTTTGGGTCCATCACTCAGAAAAAGGAGCTCTCTGATTGGTTTATTCAATTCCTGATGATGATGAGGTGATTTAAGGGTTGGTTCTTAAGTGGCTCTGATTCTAGAATTCTTTGTTTGGATTTTTAGGTTCTGCTGGGTGAAACTCGGGGTCCCATCTGGCAGCCCGGTTCTGATAAATACACTCCGCTGGACCGCCAGCTGCAGAACGCCAACTCCCAGTTCATTGGCGAGCAGCAGATGCAGCAGCAGGTACCGAAACGTCTGAACAGAGTCAGAACCGGACAGATGGGATGGATCTGATTGGCTTCTGTTTGTTTCAGCTGATCGCAGAGAAACAGGATGAACAGCTGGAGCTGGTGTCCGGAACCATCGGCGTTCTGAAGAACATGTCGGAGCGGATCGGCATGGAGCTGGACGAACAGGCCGTGTACAGAGAGAACTTTGATTATTATTATTATAGCAAAACAAGAAAGCCTTTTGAAAAGGAAAAAAATTCTTACTCGCAAACCTAAGAGAAACTTTGCTGTTTTCATAGATTTCTTTTTTTTTAAGGTATTTCTTTTAGATTTTTTTCCATGTTATATTTGTTAAAGTCTATTTTTTTATATATTTTTAAAAAATATATTCTTTTAATTTGTATTTTTTCAGCTTTATCTTTCTAAGGTTGAGCTTTACAAATTGCTTTCTTTTTAAAACGGTTCTACAGATCACATGTTTTTGACTTCAAGCCCAGTGCAAACGCTCCCAGACTGATAGGAACACGTATTCTGAATGTGAACTGTAAAACTGAACCTGAAAAAGAGAAATAAAAACATTATTAAAAAGAGAATTTGAATTAATAGAATTAAAACATTTCATCTCTAAAAATAAAAATTGAGAAAAAAACAGCAAAGTTCCTCTTAAAACCTTTTTTGATTAACAGTTTTTTTTTTATGTTCTGTTTGGAAAATGCAAACCCTTCCTGACAGGTCCATGTCCAGGCTGGTGGAACTTCAGGTCTGTGAGGAGGAGCTCTATGAAAGTCATGGTTCTTCTGGTGGTGGGGGGGCGTCTCCTTTGGACCTTACCTTGGTTTTGAAACTTGATATTTTTGGGTCTAAATTAATTTCTTCAGAAATTCCTGTTGCTAATCTCAGCATCTATGCTAGGTTCTAGGATAGGTTCTCTGGTTCCTGATCTTGACCAAAGGTCTGACGATCCGGTGGAACCGTCCATCTGTCAGGCCCAAAGTCACACAGAGCAGAACCAAACCTAAGAACATTCCAGGTGATTTACGGTTTACATTCGGCTCAAACACGCCTTCTGCTCCCTCCCACCTGAACTTCCAGTCCCGGTTATGGAACTAAACAGGCAGAACCACTGGGTACCATCAGAACCAGGCAGCAGTTTTCTGCTTCAAAACTAGAACCAAGTTATTGAGGTTCTGGTTTTGAACTCATTTACATAGCAGTAAAGGCTCAGTATCGTGTCATTATCAATGGGTCCTGCAGTTTTCAGCCTGTTTGATGTTTTATTACCAGTCTAGTTGTCAAGTGTTGTTTCTCCTGCAGGATGCTGGATGACTTTGGACATGAGATGGACCACACTCAGTCCCGCCTGGACAACGTGATGAAGAAACTGGCTAAAGTCTCACATATGACCAGCGGTAATCTGCCCGGCAACACATTGCTCATCCAGAAACAGAGTTTATTCTATTTGAGCTCTGATTGAATGAAATTCAGGGACTCTGGGTTCTGATTGGACCTCTTCCTGTGCCAATCTTCAGCGGCTAAGAATGATCTGATATTTCAGCTGCTTGTAAAAAAGATTGTAATGCAGATAATTTGTATTTATATTGGTAATAACATCAAAACATCTTTACTCTGTATTTATATGCAGGCTCTGTGTTGCCGATATCAGTCGAGTCACGTTAGCATCAGGTTCTAGACTTTAGTCACCTTCATTCTCTGCTTTTCTTTAACTGGTAGACATGTTTGAACAGCAGAGCTTTAGCTCGGATCTCGACTTTGTTGTCACTAGTCAATGAAGGAGGCAAAACATGGATGTAATTTTGGTATTGGCCGCTGCTTTATGGTTACAATAGAACAGACAATTGAGCTTTGTGTGGCGTTTAAAACACTCCCTGACTAGATGTAATTTCCCACCAAGCATTGTAGTGAGGCGTTGCTTATGTAGCCATATAAATGTAATAAAATAATCAGCCTTATTGACTGCTTGGTTCAGGTTTAGTAAATGAACTCCCCTGAATATAATTCAATCACTCATTTTAAATTCGAATAAAGTTTAGTGACTCTGATCTCTGATTGGCTGGAACAGCATCATTCTAGCTGTGGTTGGTTTATCTATTTAATCAGTGATCAATCGGTTTCCCCGCAGATCGCCGTCAGTGGTGTGCGATTGGTGTGCTGCTCCTGATCCTGCTGGTTGTCATCATCCTCTTCTTCATCCTCTGACTGAAGCGCCGCATCGACCCAAACGTCTCATCTCAGTGTTCTGGACCTCATATGGACTGTAGTGTTCTGAACATGACCCGTCTGATCTCAACTCTTCCTGCTGCGATTTGCTCTTTTGTTTTTGTTGTTTGGATGTTTTTATTTAATACTCTGAAAGTAACTAAAATAACTCTAAAAATAACCAATGTAACCAGTTTAACCATTATAACAGGTCATTATGGTCCTGATGAGTTCAGTAGCAGAAAATAGATCAGCTGTTTTCAGTGTGAAACGGCTGACCTGTTTGGGCTTCTTTCTCTTCAGAACCTGCTTCCTGCTCTAATCTGATTGGTCTAATAGTTCCTGACTGTGGCCCTCAGGGGCCACCGTCTTGCAGCCTGTAGACCCGATCTGTTCTGAGCCCAAACGTCTGTTTCATTTCCTGCTGGGTCACCAGTTTAAACTGGTAAAGCTCAGGTTACACTAATGTTTTAGCTCTAACTGGTTAATAAGGTGAAACTGGTTTAGAAAAACACTAAATTATGTTTTAATGTTTTTGTTGACTGAAAACCTTTTCTGTTTTATTTTATTTTCTGTTTATTTGAACATTGTTGACCTGTGACCTCATACATGATTTCAGTTATTTAAGGTTGCTCAAACACACTTCATGCTGCTCCTTCACAATAAAAGCCACTCCCACAGTTAAGACTGCGTTTGTGTCATGACTCTGATTACCCACATGTCTCCAGGATAAATGTGGACTAGTTATAGAGCCACTTCAGCTCAGACTCCACTCAACTGAAGATTTTAAAGGACCATCTGACATCGGACCATCAAAGGACCATCTGACTCTTATTGTGAAGGAGTAACAGAAGTGTGAGCAGTTGAATGATGTGATTTTTTCCAAGTAATGAAACATTTCATTTCTGACTGTTCATCTTAATTAAAGGTTCCTGTTGTCTCTGAGGAAAATTGAGTTTTATTTGAGCAGCAGTTTAGTTTTTGTTAAGTTCTGATCAGTTCAGCCTGAGCATGCTCATTTTGGAAAATCAGAGAGTGCTGAGGCAGGATTACTGGGTTAGAGAGACAATTTCAGGTTTAACCCTGACTTTCCGATGCTGGATTCATTCTAAGCGATGCTAGTCACCATGGTAACCTACTCTGAACAACCTCCTCCAGATCAAGCTAGCTTTCATGGTTGATCTGAATCGTAGAAAACCCTCAACCCAACAGCCAATCAGCTGTTTGGGAAACAATGATGTGCAATTTGATTTTTAGACATGATTTAACTAACACAGCAAAAGAAGAACTCGAAATATTTCGTAAACAAAATATATTCTTGACAAAAAGTGAGCTTTTTTCCTATTTTTCCTTATGACATGCCAACCTTTTAACTGTTTTGTATTTTTTTTCTCCTGTATAATGTCCTTACACACCCTAGCATTTATTGGTTTCTTGTATAATTGATATATGAAGGTAAGTAAAAAATAAAATAAATCAGAGCATTGGGAGAACATCCTTTTGATCAGGCATCCCCAACCTCGGTCCTCGAGGCCCACTGTCCTGCAGGTTTTAGAGGTTTCCCTGCTTTAGCACAGCTGATTATAACGATTGCAGTAGACCAAAAGCCTGTTAATCAGCTTTCAATTTAAATCAGCTGTGCTGGAGCAAGGAAACCTTTAAAACCTGCATGACAGCAAGGATCGAGGTTGGGGATGCCTGCTGTAGATCACTATGATAATATGAGTGATGCAGGTTTTCTCAGGCTGGCTGGCATATATGCCTAAACCTAGAACTGCAGGAGTGTGGCCCTCACTGTGTCACAGACTGTACGTATGGCCGACAGAAATGACCCAACTAGCTTTATGTACACCGTCGGTGCAGCTGATTAATGAAGTCATCAACTCTCCTGGCCACTCCCCCTAACACAGTATAGAAGACTGATTTTTATGCCATCGCAGGTGAGTTGATACCTGGATTTCTGTGAAATGTCAGATTCATCGCATTATGAAATTCAGGCTGTTTTTCATCATTCTGCTTCATTCTATCTCTATTCTTCTGTTAGTCTTATTTCCAACGTTATGCTCTCTCTGCTTTTTTCTCATAGTAGCTTAATCTGGTCTGTTCCTGTTTGGCTGTGACACCATCCTGGATATCATTCTTAAATATCAGTTGTGCTGCTGCCATCAACACATTTGTTTATAGATGTTCGAGATTGGCCTGTATTTCAGTGTAGTCCTGTTTCTGGCTGTGAAAGGCTGGATGTGCTGTCTTCATCCTCTGATATAGGAGCTGGCTCGGAGCTCTTCTGCCTGGCTGTGTGTTTCCTGGACAGGGCTGCCTGTGGAGCTGGTTTATAGTTGCCTTTTGTATCTCTGCTTCTTTTTCTATTTCTGCTCCCTGAACCCCAGTCAACCTCTGCAGATGGCCGCTCACACTGAGCCTGGTTTTTCTGGATGTTTCTTCTTGTTAAAAGGGAGTTTTTCCTCTCCACTGTTGCTACAAGCATGTTTAGTGTGAGGGGATTGCCTTCGAGTCAATTAGTCGATGCAATCAACTGGTTTTCCTTAGACAGAAAACTTTGAATCAATTTGACTGGATGATCTGGTTGAATTGTGAAGTGCCTTGAGGTGACATGTCTTTTGAATTGTCGCTATTTAAAAAAACTGAACTGAAAGTGAATTGTTAAATATACAGATGAGGGAATTTATGGTAAACCACCAGGTACAAAAAACTAAGAAGTCTGTAATATTTTTGTGAAATGAAGCATTGATCATGATAAGCAAAGAGTGAGACTGAATCAGAAATTCTATTAAGTTTAATCTATGTAGGAAAGACATTGAAGTATTTCAGTCCATTTAGAGCAGCATTTGAATACTTTCTCAATTGAAAAGGCAGCACAGATGTTTACCATTTGTCCTGCTGAGTTCTGACACAGCTTTCCCTTAGACTGATCACGTCTTGTATAAACATTATGCAATTGTGGAATTGATGCAATTTAATTCAATTCAGTTTATTTATATATCACCAATTCACATCACTTGTCATCTCAAGATACTTTACTAAGACATTTCGGCCAGATCATACAGTCAGATTGATTCAACATTTTCTATCTAAGAAAACCAGTTGATTGCATTGACTCTTCAGCAATCCCTCACACTAAGCATGCTTGTAGCGACTGTGGAGAGGAAAAACTCCTTTTTAACAAGAAGAAACCTCTAGCAAAACAAGGCTCATCTACCGAGGCCGACTGGTGTTCAAGGAGTCAGAATGCAACTGTCAAACAGCTCCACAGGCAGCCCCGTCCAGGAAACACACAGCCAGGCAGAAAAGCTCAGAGACAGCTCCTATATCAGAGGATGAAGAGAGCACATCCAGCCTGTCACAGTCAGAGAAACAGAACTACACTTAAAAAACAGGCCAAGCTCCACATGTCCCATCTCTGGGCATTTATTTCTTTATAGCAATTTTCAAAGTGCGACTGCCAGGAAAAATTGGAGCAAAAAAAGTAAAATTTTTTCCCCACATTCAAATGTTTATAATTTTCTTTTTTTACTCTCCATTCTGTCCATTTAACCACTTGATTGATTTGTTATTAATATGGACTCACCTGTCAGCATGTTACTGTGTTTAGCTGTTTGTATTAAGAGGACTGAGAGAATTATAGTAATTTTGCTAAGTTGCATCCTCGTGAGACACATTTCTTAAATCAGTCGTAATTCTGTGAGTGGCTTTTTGATTACTAGGAAAAGCAAGAGGATAAACCACCTCTACTAGGCAGGAGTTTCTGTCAGCTCTTTGTTCAGAGTCGCTCTAAGCTAATGATTTCCTGTGGAGATAAAACTCCTAGGCAGGAATGTTTAGGCTACAACAGAAACTCTCTAAGTCTATCACGCTCTGATCTTTAAGGAATGTTTTTTTTTTTTTCTTAGAGGGAGGGATATGATTTTCTTCTTTAAAACAGGTTGTGCTGCGAGAAATTTCCTAAATAACACAATGGGATCAGTGATCTGAACTGAATCATCACAATGATGACATGTGTTCCCAGGGTGTTCTACCCAAAAACAGATAAACAGACATCTGCTTAAAAACAACAACAAATCCACAGAACTGATCCGGGTTACAACTTCAGTAACTCTAAGATGTTTAAAGCCGCTCTATATAAGGGAAGATATGTAGAGTTTAGTATTTACAGGGAGGATGAGGTTCTGCACGTGGCTCTAAGTAATGCATCCAAATTCATTCCAGTTTGTGTTTCTCTGGGATTTTTTGGTGTTTTGTTAGGATGCTAGATTCTCCATTAATTTGTTCCTTAATTAAACCAATTTATAGGAAGCTGTTAAAACATACTCTGACTTGCAGAAGGACTCTTATCTTGATAATAAAGTAACAGTGTCCTTCAAAATAAAAGCATTGCATTTATATAGCCTGGTTGGTCAAAGTCAGCAGGCAGTATGTGGTCAGAAGGTTCTGTAAAGACCAGAACTTTTATAGTTTTTTTTTTTTTTTTTTTTTTGTAACCAGGGCATTTACTTTTTCCCCTCTAGGTTTAATCAAGCATTTTAATTCAAATAAGTTGAATGAGCTCTGAATCAACTGAGCTGTAACTTGTTACATCTAATCAGTTACATTTATTTGAGAAACTTGAAAAAATAAAAAATCAGTATTTTTAGTACATTGTACATTTTACTTGAGTAAAAATATGTAAAATATCACTGCTCTTATTTGAAAAAAAAAAATAAAATTCTGCTTAGTTCTTTTGATGAAAATAAGCTTCTTTTGAACAAAAGTGCACCATAGAGACACACCTTGTTGTTTTTCCTCTCTTTTTGGTTCAATGTTTTTTTTTTTTTTTTCTCATCTGTTGAGGCAGTAAACAGCAACTTTACCCTATTCTAACATACTGTAACCATTGATTTTGTGTTTTGTCAATAGTTACATGACATTGTTTGAGTTTCATAACTCTAATTATGTATTTTTCCTTTCAGTTGCTGTTTGTTTTATATTTATTTTTTTTATGTCAGTTTCTAAACACCAAAATCTGTCTATCAAAACATTTTGTTTAATATTAAATTTAATATTAAATGAGTTGTTGTGGTCATAAGTGTTAAGTAGATCAGTTACTCTGTACTGGAGTAGCTCTTATACCAAATACTTTTTAACGGTCACTTGAGTCACATCTGGGATGGCTGCTTCTTACTTTTATTTGAGTAAAAGTATGTAGTAGTGCTAGCCTTACTTTGGTACAATTTTTGGGTACTCTACCTGCCTTCGCCTGGATCAGAACTGAACCATAATCTGAATCTTTGACCCCTTTCAGTTTATTCTTCAGAGATCAGATTTTCCTCTTCTGCCTAAAGTGTTTTGCAGCAACTGCTTCTGTCTCCTCAAAGTTAGATGGTTGAAGGTCCAGCAATGGTTCTGTGTCCCCACCATGGCTCCTGCTTGGTGGTTAAACAGAACTCAGTCCCCCTCTTTGGGTTTTACAGTCAGACGAGATCTCATAGAGCTCCATCTGCTGACCATGATGCTCCTCGTTCCGGTGGCTTCACTGAAAGGATTTGATTGTCACCATAGGAAATGTTGAGCCAACTCATGATATGAGATGACAATATAAATCAAGCTATTCCATCCTAGTTTCTAGAACCGAATGGTTCCAGATGAAACCCAGATTCTACTCCAGATGGTATCTTAGATCAAAACACATTCGGACTCCATCACACAGATGGCTAAAGCTGAAATCTAAAGTTTGAACCAATTGCAGTATCTGATTTTGCTGCAAGAGGAAGAGGGAGGTGGTTGAAGTTTTGCATTGTTCTAAAAGTTTGGAAACTTGAAAGGAAAACCCTTAAAGGAGTTTAGAAGACTCATAACTTTTTCATGTTAGAACATGTGTGGTGGTGTTGTGCTCCAGTTAAAACTCGCTGAACTGTGTAAGTAGTTTCGTTTTTTGGTGTGGGCTTTTTGTCCAAACCAGAAAAAGCTTCTCCTTCTGTATCAATGTCATTCCTGCAATGGTGCTAACATAAGCCCACCTTGCTATCAACACTCCCATTTCTCTTCCACCAATCAGGGTCTCACCTGGAGGCAGTCGGTAAGTGTTTTACCAGACAGTTAAACGAGCCAAAGCAAACTGCTAATGTTGCTAATGCTACATCCACATGAACATGCATACTCACCTTAACGAGAAAAAAAAAATGTTTTTAAAAGGGAAACAAATTAGCTCTAAGCTGTTATTTTCTTTAAAACGATTTTTAAAAAATTTAAGCGAAATTTAGAAATATTTTGGCTGTAAAATACCAGTTCTAACACCCTTAAAAAATGGTTTGTATGATTTCCAGGTTGACCTGAATACAAACATTAAAAACAGGCAAGAGTCACACATATAAAAAGGTTTATTTCATGTAATGACTCTGTCTCTGCATTTGGAAACGGTTCTGGTTGGGCAGTGGTCCAACCAGAACCTGTCCTCCTTTTGTGCAGAGCCACCAGTGATCAGGAGGACAAGTGACTCTCAATCATTTGTTGCCTTAGCAAGACATTTAAAAGCTCCGCCCCCTTCTCAAAATGTGATCAGTTGGGCTTTAGAACAGCGTTATGGTCCAGGAACCAGTAGGGAGTTATCTACTAGAGTGCAGAGGCGGTCTTCCGTCTCAGGATCCGTACGGTGGAGGTGGGGTTCTGGAGCAGCACCTGGTTCACCTGATCCAAACTGAGAGAGGCAACTTTCTCTCTGTTCACCTCCAAGATCTCGTCTCCCACAGATAAGAGGCCTGCATACAGCTTCTGACTGCAGCGGTCCACCAAGTCCTCCACGTACACACCTAGAACCAGACAGAGATAGATTGAACACAAACACTTTCTTCATTCAGAGCCTACAGCTCATCATTATTGTCTGACAGATGAACACATGGGGTGGAGATCTTCAACAGCCACTTATTCTACCAACAAATAGAGCTGCAGGACTGATAATGGAGGAAGTGAGATAAACCAAATTAACGTAGTAAAAGTCATGCTGTGGTGATGTTTGACATTTTCTGCTGGAACAACATATAGCTGCCCTGAAGCGGCCGATGGCCTTAACTGTTAGGGATGGGTCTTAATCTAATCAGCAGGGGTGGATTTAGGACATTTGGGGCCATAGGCAAAGACATGCAGGGGCCCTTTGAATTGAGAAGACAGCACATAAAACAGACCCATTAAACTGATACAGAAATTTTAATAGAATAGACATACATTATATGTTCTACGTTTTGTCCCTCTCTTCTTGTTGTTTTCCTCTCTATGTTTTGTACTCAGCTGACTTTTCATGCTGTCTCAAAAGGAATGAAAGATTTTTTTTCCAAGCACTAAGCTTGCTTAGCAGATCGCTCCTTCCTGTGTTTCCAAAAACGCAACAAAAAAAATTAATAAAACATTCCTTCTTTTCACTGTAAATAAGCCATGATCTGCTGGCCCTAGGTAGCTGCCTAGTATTGCCTAATGGTAAATCAACCCTTGCTAATCAGTTACATTCTCTTTGTTTTTTACAAATAAAAAAAATCAGCTATTTGTATGTTTCAAAATCACATTGTCGTCTCTAGACTTTAAAGAAAACTGTTCATTATTCAGACAGGTTCCAGATTGGCTACATCCGCTCCTATTGCTCCCAGTAATAAACAAAACAACCAAATTTGGCTCATTATTTATCATTTAAAAGTTTCCATCTCCCAGCAGATGGAGGGGTGGTGGATCGAGGTTTGCAAAAGACGCTTTCCTTTTTTTTTTTTCCACCTCTTTTGAGACAGAGTTGAGATGTGAAAGACTCACAGTTGTCCTCTGGACAGATTGACCCACTAGAGCTGTGGCTCTATGCAGCCCCCCCAGAGTCACCATGCTCCTCCTGGATGCTTCTTTAAGAAACACGCTCCCTGCCTTGGCTCTAGGTGGACTTGAAGTTGCATGTTTGTGCAGCAAAAAATGTTGTTTTATGCTCTTTTTAAAAAGAGTTAATAAGAGAAGGTCGACCCGCTCATTGACCAAACCAGATAAAAACGTTGTGAAAAGTTTGTGCTACATTAATGCAGCAAAACTTTTCATTTGTGCCACACTTGGTTTGAAGTTTTTTTTTAACACAAGTTAAGTGGAGGAATGGTTTGAAATTTTGTCAATAACGCGAAAAGAAGCAAAATCGGAAAAATAGACAGCTGTTTTGTCTATTTATTAAAGGTGGAAGGCTGGTTGACCTTTGGTGACCTCTGGAAATTTTCAATGATATCTTTAAAAGGGCAGCAGCCTAAACAAACGATTTTGTGGCACAAATGTTTGACACCAGTTTGAACAGATCTGAAGATGTTGAGAAGCTATATGTCTTGGTAGGGCTGCAGGTGATTCTCCTTTGTCCTTGTTCAGATAATGGGTTGATCAGAGCTCTGGGAGACGTTCAGGGAAGTAACCCTCCTATAATCTGAACCAGAACTTCCTCTCTGAACGTCTCCTAAGTTCTTTAGTCTTCATGATGCTGGATGTTCTCTGGAGTAAAGGTTACCAAAATTGAAGCTTCTGACCTACAAATGGTACCAGAGTGGACTTACGACCCAAACTACAGTGAGTGTAAAAATGCACTGCCAATTTTTCAGATATTTCAGAAAACAAATCTTTTTACCTCGACATAATGATGGACAAATTCGTTTTGGTCTTTTTACTATAACTGGTTAAAGTTGAAGTTAAAATGGAACAATATTAGAAAAAGTTTTAGAGGAGTGAATACTCTTAATTACCAGAGTCTGTTCGTTGTTTTCCTCGGCCGATGATGAACCCAAGCTTCTGATCTGCTGGTCGGCTGAGTTCTAACAGAACCGTTCCATCAGAACAGACCTGAAGAACCCGACCAACAGATCTCCCTGAGCAGGGCTGACTTATGTCCTCTGAGCTCAGACACCGAGGCAGAAATCTGAGGGACAGACAGAGGTGGAAACTGAGATTTGATTGGGTTAGGAGGTTTCTGTGGTCTTCTGATTGAAAAACAGATGACCTACTGCTCATCAGCAGGTCTATGTTCTGCACAGCGGTTCTTGTTCTTCTCAGAACTAAAACTCTGTATTGATGAGTACTTCTTTAACCCCAGCGCCCCCTGAAGGAAAAACAAGACCATCACAGCTCAGAAAGAAAAATATTTCACACTTAAAACTTGAGATCCACAGCTGCAGGTCTTACCAGAGACTGAGCAGAAGGAGATTTCTTCAACAGGCTGCAAGACCTGCTGCCATCATTAGGGGCATGGTCCAGAGTGGGGGGGTGGGGCTTTGTGGATAACCGGTCCAGGCTGCCGGTTCGAGGCCTGCTTAGTTTGACTGTAGAGAAAAGGCGGCGCAGTGAGAGACGAGATGGTCCATCTCTGCTGAACCTAAAGAAAGGAGTCAGAAAAACAAGATAATTTTGGGTCATTTCTAAAATCTGCAGAAAACTCTGATCCAGGAAAAGAACAGGACTTCACCACCCTCACAGCGCTGCAAAGCAGCCTTTTGTTTCCTGGGAATGCAGGAAAAATAATCCTCCCACATCAACCCCAGTCCTGCAGGCTCTGAATTTGGCCTCTGGTTGGTCTGACTAAGGGTCACCACAACCCTGAAATGCTATGAGGATTTGAAGCAGCCCAACTGCCTTATATGTACTGGCTACATATTCTGTTTGGGTTCTTGGTCTCGCTGGTTTTGGGTGTAGAAGGGGAACCTAATAAAACTGTATCCTAAAGAGAATTGTTTAGTGTTGATTACTGTTTCTCTTGCATTGTAATTAGAAACACTGGAGGAAAAACTCTTGAAACCGGAGAGAAGAGAATCCCCTGTGCTGCATTTCTTCTGTAGCTTGACACATGGTCTCATTCAGGTCAGCAGATTTCTGTCTGTTCTTCTGAGCAGGTCCCTGTCATTTTCCCTACACAGTAACAACATTCTACGTCAAAATTATTTGCAACATGTTTTCTCATCTAAGGCTGGAGGTCTGCAGCCCTTCATGAAAAGTAGGAATCCAGTTGTACTTTTTCTGATTATTTAAATTTTCATATGATTATCTAGGGATGCACCGATATAAAATTATGTGCCAATGTTGATATCTGATGTTAAAATTGCTGCTTTTTCTGTCCTTTGTCCATGGGCATTCATTGCTCCTCTGACACAACTAAACACCCACAATCCCGAGCTGCATCACGATCACGGTCACAGGACCAAACAACGTCAAATAGCCCCTCATGAAACAAAAACAGCATCTTTATAGAAATACAGTTGGTAATTTGAGCTCCATTTTACGTATTGGACCGACACTATATGTTCAGCAGCGATCAAAATGGACTGATATTGATATTAATGCTGATATTTTATGCATCCCTACTAATAGCATTTTTAAAAAATCATTCAAGGACACTTTGCACTTTAAGCAGCATAACAACAAATCTACAAGATAGAAGCAACAAATGCAGCACAGACTGAAATTTAAGGAAGACGTGATTAAGCACTGGAACAAGTGGAGTTTAGGTATGGACTATATATCCTATAACCAGTACCCTATGATTTACTGCAACATTTATTCCCTTTGGGATTAATAAAGTATTTTTGAATTGTAGGACATCATGAAATTGATTTCAGCACCAACAATCAAACTCACCTTTGAACGCCATCTTTTCTACAGAGGAGATAATTGGTTGGTGGTTTATTGGCTTTGCATTTTAACCATTCAGATATTGGGATATATTTAAAAAGATATAGTGGCATTTTGAATCTGTTCATGGTATACAGGACAAAATGAGTAGTTAAAAGAGTGAAATATATGTTTTCTTTTACTAATAATCAAATATTTTCCAACTCTATATTTAAAAACATAATAGAGAGTTTTATTATCATGTCAGTAGGATATGATTCTTATAACAGTCGGGAATTCAGCTGTGATGGAGCTTCGATCATGCAGTAATGATGTCATCAGTCCGGGTTTGAACTCACCTTTCAGGAGGTGTGATGGTACCCTGGAGTTCCTCTCTTATTGGATGACTGACGTGTCTCTCAGTTCTGGTGGGAGGGGCTCTGTCTTCAGCTGTGGACCAGAAACACCATGTTTGATTTTTTTTTTTTCATTATTGAAAAGGATCTATAATACATATGTGTTCTTATTATTCGCTTCCTGTTTTATTCAGATTTTTTTTTTTTTATTTAAAAGGGAAAATGTTTTTTTAAATAGGAAATGTTAGAACATTACACCGTGCATTTATTGCTGTAATATCAGGCTGAAAAATGAAGAAGTACATATAAAATTATTGAATATTGAGCAAATAGCAAACTTCAAAAATAAGCCACAAAAAGAAAAAGAAAAAAAAGAAGAAAAAAATCAAACCAGCGAATTAATCAGTCAACCAGTGAATTGTAAAATCCTTTACTTTCAAATGTTTGAACATTGTATACTCATTGATATTGTAAAATAAATGTCTTCTTGTTTGTATTCTGGGTTTATGTAATTTTATCTATCTCTCTGTCATGATGTAAGAAAAGTGAAAAATAACAACTGCTTATTATGCCAGATGATTAAATGTAAAATGGGGTAATAATGCCTAATAAATAATTCTATTTCTTTCTGTTTGTTTTTAGAAATGGTATTCTTGATCTTTCTGTAAAACTGTAAAAGTGCAGAAAGCCTGTGTTCCTTTAAATCAAGACTAAAAACACATTTGTTCGACTTCGACTGTTCTAGTAAAATAGTTCAACTGAAACATCATTAGTTCAACTTTTTTATTTTCTTTAGTCCAACTGTTTTTAATGTTCTTTTTTGTTTTTGCATTATTTATATTTTTTTTCTTACTTGCTTTGATTCTGTTTTATTTATTTATTTCCTATATTTTAATCATGTAAAGCACTTTGCATTGTCTTTGTACTGAATTGTGCTACACAAATACATTTGCCTAGCCTTGCCTTACCTTCTGGGGGGGGGGGTTATTAAAAAGGGCATCAACTAGATGGGTCCTTAAGGCTTTTTCTTTTTCAGATAGTGATTGTAAAACAACTCTTCTGAAGTGACTGAGCTGTATTTATGTATGTTTGCATCCAAAATAAAGTCTATCCATTCAGAGATCCATTAGACGTTTTATAGCTTTGTGGAGAAAGTTTAGCTTGTCACACCACAAATAATAAAGATGCCCATCAGTCGGGTGTTTTTCCCCAGCAGTTATCAAATTGCTGTTGGGAAAAAAAAGCAAGTTGGACAACCCGCTGCTCTCTTGCTCAAGCCTGTAGGGGAGAGTGTCCAGGTGACATACTATGGCTAACAGTTGGAATAATAATCTATTAATGAACAGCTTTACTTGTTTCTGAGTGCTGAAGTCTGCAGATGATCTGTTGTATGATGGATTTAAAGGTGCCTACAGGGATGCAGTTAAAGGATTAGGAGGATGTATCACCTGAGGAAGAGCATCTTCTCCTTTCCTTCAACTCTGACCGGGTCTGAGGTTCTCTGTGAGGCTCAGCAGCTGAGTGGTTCCTCTGTTTCTCCTCGTTCTGGTTTCGATTCTCTCCTGTTGCTGTGTTATTGAGATTTCCATTCCCTGACATCATCAGGGGCCTGACAGTGAGTGGGGTTAAAGTAGACAAACATGAACGGGGATGATGGGGGGCAGTAGATGACTGGGGAGGTGTCCCCACTGTGACAGGGGCATACGGGTTTACTGGTATTTCCAGAGTAAGTGGGGCCTGTGAATCGATAACCTGGTTGCTGTTTTTTTGCATCATGTTGGCTCTCCCTCTCCCGTGCTTGCTGACATCTCCACCCACTCCATCACCTGAGGGAGCAGGTGTGACACAGCCGATATAGGAGTCTTTGAGCAGCTCTGTCCGCATGTGGAGGTGGGGCCTGGCAAGGCCACTCCCTCTTCTCTCATTTAAAGGTGGATGCTGAAGGAGGCGCTGGTCCAAGTGGGCTGTATTTCCCAACTTAACCCCACCTGATTCAAAGGGTCGCACCACCCTCATCATTGTTTTTCTTCTCTGTTGCTGACCAGCATCGGCTTCCGTCCCTTTGTGTCCTAAACGGGCATTAATGCACTGGTTTATGTCCAGTTTAGACATGAGGACACCAGTCCCCGGCTGCCCAAACGTCCTTTGAAGCTGTCGCTCTCGGTAACGAGACTCTGCTTCAATCTCTGTCTCATCCTCAAACCGTAAGCGGCGAGTTGGTGATGCAGATGGCCGCCACCTAGCAGACAGGTCGCTCAGGTGTCCTGGCAGTGAGGCCCTTCCCTCCAAAGTCCCCGGTTCTCTGAGACTGACCCCCGACCTGCAAACAGACAGCAGTAAGACAGCTGAAGTGGGACCACTTTATCAAGGCCAAACACGTAACAACAAATAAAGTGAGACTCAGGAAACCATGGAAATAGAGGTGAAATCATCTCAGACAGAAGGGAAATCCATCCATCCATTTTCTTTACACGCTTAATCCCAAGCAGAGTCGCGAGGGGTGCTGGTGCCTATCTCCAGCTGCTAATAAGCAAGAGGCAGGGTACACCCTGGACAGGTTGCCAGTCCATCGCAGGACAACACAGAGACAAACAGGTCAAACAACCATTCATGCACACACTCGCACCTAAGGACAATTTAGAGAAGCCAATTAACCTAACTGTGGACAGTGGGAGGAAGCCTGAGTACCCAGAGAGAACCCACGCATGCTCAGGGAGAACATGCAAGAAAGACCCAGGCCGGGAATCAAACCCAGAACCTTCTTGCTGCAAGGCAGCAGTGCTACCCACTGCGCCACTGAGCAGCCCTGAAGGGGAAATGTTTCAGCAAAACTAACAATTAGTTAAGCTTTATGGTGAAACATGCTTTGTTTCAGAGAATTCTATTATCCTGAAACAAAATCCAAAATGAAACAGTTCACACAACGAGTGACAATCCTGCAGCTTGAATCATCAGATGGCTGCAGAGGAGACTACTCTGCTCTGCTACCCACTCTGTCTGGCTGAGAAGAACCATCACAGGAACAGAGGCGCCTGAAACAAGCTCGGACTCTATGGAGGACGATGACTAAGTGGACTCCGATTCAGGACAATCAGATTGTGGAAGCTGTAAGCATTTTAAAACTAAATCAGAATCAAAAAGTGGAGCCCGAAATCAACTGTTCAAATCACTTCACAGGGGCCACCCCAACCTAAACAGGGAACACATGCTGTGCTTAGGACCTCATCTTCCAATGGGGGCCACATTTAGCTCACAGAGGTGTTAGAAGGAAGACACCACCTGAAATCTGACTGCATAATATTTGCCTGCACTCCACATCTGATCAATCAATCAATCAATCAATCCATCAATCTCTTTATTCTCAACTACAATTTACATTGTAATCGAGATTTCAGTTTCAGTATAAGCCGTTCATCACATACATTGGGATGGGGGGGTCTTACAGGGGGAACAATTTACTGAGGTCAAGCATGCCGCAGAACGCTGCCAAGGGCCCCACCGTGAGGCGGTTCCCTATAGCACTGCCTTTATCTCTGTGGAAAGATAGGAGCCACATTGGGGAGGGAGAGAAAAAAAAGACTATTTCACACTTAATCCTTGACAGGATACAGTTTGAGATAAAAAAAAATATTCTTGCAGCACTACAGAAGATGAGCTATCAAGATGTTGCAAAAGCAACATCATAAATGGCTATTTCCAGTCTCTGTCTTTTATTGTAGAAGTTCCTTTTCTCTAGAGGCCCTGATTAACATCTGTGACATGGCTTATGCCTTCACCTCTGCTGAAAAACAGTAGGGGAAAAAGTTGGTGGTCGCATATGAGCTATAGAATTTAGGTAATGAATTTATGGTTAAGTATATTAATCTATGGTAAGAAGTTTTAAACTTTTTAAGGAGATAAATATCAACTCAATTCAGTTTATTTATAGTGCCCAATTCACAACACATGTCATCTCAAGGCAATTCAACCAGATCATACAGTCAAATTGATACAAGGTTTTCTAGCTAAGGAAAACCAGTTGATTGCATCAACTCAAAGGCAATCCCTCACACTAAGCATGCTTGTAGCGACAGTGGAGAGGAAAAGCTCCTTTTTAACAGGAGGAAACCTCCGGCAGAACCAGGCTCAGTGTGAGCAGCCATCTGCAAAGACTGACTGGTGTAAAAAGGCGCCGTCCAGGAAACACACAGCCAGGCAGAGGAGCTTCAAGCCAGCTCCCATGTCAGAGGATGAAGAGAGCCCATCCGGCCAGTCACAATCAGAGAAACAGGACTACACTAAAAAACACTTTTTCTCTTACGACCAGAATGATAACATCTATTGGTAATTGAATTCACAACAGTCATCTTCTTAAGAGAGAAACACTGTTTGAAATGAGTGTAAATAATGCATTTGTTTACAGAGGAAACTAAAATTTTATATCATTCTATTTGATCCTGAATTATGTTTTCTTAGAACTGTGGTTTGTGTAAAATAATAATACTACAACAATAATGATAAAAAATAAAATATAATAATGGATAGAAATATGAGTAGTTTTTGTGAATATTAGTACTAGAAAGAGTAGTAATAAAAGCAACAGTATTTGTAATAAAGTCTTTAATAATGGATGTCACAATAGTTTTTAATCGTGGTTGCTCTTATTTTTATTATTATTAGCAGTTTAAATAATTGCATTACCGGTTATGAATATTTTTTAGGCTAATATTTTGATTTATTTGATAGTGTACTTTACCTTTAAGACCTAAACATATCTTTATCTGCTTGTAAAGATTTTTTTGTCCGGATTTCTTACCATACTAATGCTGAAATTTGTCAGCACCAGAGCCATCAAAAGGTATCTTTACACATACAGCTGCTACAAGAGCACAACAGTTGTCAACATTTGGTGTCATTAATAAAGGTGAATTAGATGCCATTTTGCTATACAGTCATTTTGTAAACATCATACATTTGGGATGGGGAGAGGTGGAGGGTGTAGGGCTGGGGCCTCCAACTAACATTTTGTTTAGGGCCCTAATTTGGTCTGGAATGGTACCACACTTCACAATGTGAATCAGGGTGGTGGATAAAACATTATTTTGGTAAAATAACATTCCAAAGAACATTTTGCCTGATCAGAATTTTTTACCTGAAAAATTGCTTTGAAACCTCAAAGAAGTCATAACTTGATATTTTTCACATGCAATCCTTCTGAATTTGTTTTGATATTCATGTTTAATCATTTTAGGTTGCAATAAAATTAAATAGAGCTCATTCAGATCCCTTTTCATATTCCCTTTTTTCTTGCAAGGGTGTACATGTTAATTTGCTCTTATTTGTAACACATTGTGGGGCCCATTTTCAGGGAAAATGGCACGTTGTGGGAACTCACTGCTCCTTGTGGGGCCTGACCCCTGGGCCCCACACGGGGAATTGCTGGTTTTTGGTCAGGGGGTCACGTTTAGGACCAAGGTTTGAACTGAGTTTAGGTTGGGGTTAGGTTTACGTATCAATCCGTAATGGTTAGGGTTAGGGTAAGGGTCACGGTAAGGCTGTAGAAATTAATCGAAGTCAATCGAAAGACCCCGCAAAGATAGTGAGACAAGTTTGGGGTGTGTGTGTGTTCAGGTGGATGGAGCATTAGCGACATTAGCAATTAGCTATGGTTCATTTACCATAGTTTTCTGGTCTCATACAGAACGGCTAAAGTGTTATACAAGAAGTGCTTAGAGACTGCCTGCAGTGAGTTCCTGATTGATCTTTTTTCCCAAACGAAGGCTTGATGCCATTTTTGCCTGGTATATGGTTAGTTTTAGAATGACGTAGGACCCTTCTGGGCTTTCCTGGTTTGATCACAGAGCCCACATACAGCCCCTTTCACACTGTCATGTCTGGTAGGTTCTAACTGAGGCCCAACACTTAATCACATGTTTTAATGTTAAAAAAGTCAGATTTCCAGATGATTCCTTGAAAATGTGACCCCGGTGTCTCAGATACTGTAGCAAGCAGAAATATTCAAGTCTTCCTCTAGAGGTTAAAATTTTCTATACTCCATTTGTCCAAGGGGTGTGAATGCAGTCCAGTGCAGTGAGGACTGCTGAGACTCCTGCATTCAGGAAACTGAATAACAGTTGCATAAATGCATGGCACAGCACAGGAGAGCCAGGAGGTAGCTCTGGGAAGGACACACTAGTACATCAGCACCTCAAGAACAAAGGACAGGCATTTGACGAAAATGATGTTCAGATCTTGGACAGAGAGGACATATGGTTGGAATGAGGGGTGAAGGACTGAACAGAGGGGGGGAATTGGAGCTTCAGTGTTCAAGCATATACAACCCTGCATTTGAAATCAATGCAATGAAAGAAATCATATAAAAAAAAAGGCTCCAACTACCAAGGAGAATGAAAAGTCAATTATTTAAATCTGATTAGGAATCAATTAGGATAATGGATTCCTGTGCTTAAAAACATCAGCATTCCACCAACAGTTTGCCTTAGTGTGAGCTGCTTGAGAAAGAATCACTGTCCTATGTTAGGATAATTATCATTAATGATGTGTGAGTTTATTACACCTTGGTATTGGCTCCCTGTTGCATGTCAGAACTGATATTTTCCACAATACCCGAGAGATAGAGCTTCAAGGTGCATACACAGAGCCTATCTTTAATACCTACCTTGAGAAGCTCTCCTTGCACAGAGAGGTCTCTGCGTCAAGCATTCTGCCTGTTCTGGCGCATTTCTTTTCTTCTCATAAGCTTCATAGACACTTCCTCTCTTACGACCCTCAGCCATTTTCAAAGAACCGTGGTGAGAAAGGTGAGCTTCAATCACTGCCTAAAACCGTAGCTCATCAGAGATATATCCAACCGGGGACGAGCACGTACAACAGCCTTAGGTAAACATCTCACCAGAATGATTGACAGTTAGAAGGACCCATTATTTAGATGATCCACCCCAGAAATAAAAAATCGTCCTCTATATCTTTAATTTTGATAGCTGGTAAAACTATCACAGTATATAGTGATATTGCAAAACCACGATACTATCATATCTCGACCCAAGTATCGTGAAACGTATCGTATTGCAACACCCATGCCAATACTTACCCCTAAGCAGTGGCTAGGAACAGCATGGGCTCCCTGTAATAACCGATTTGCTAATAGGAAGTATCCTTTTTCTCTGTGCTTGCTCCTTTCTTGTTACTAGCACTATTCAGATAGCATTTATTATGGTGACGGCTGACACAGTTAACTGTAGCTTAAGTGCCCTTACCGATCTAAGGTATTTGGATAGAAATAGAAAAGCCAGGGTGTGCTGGGATTTACCCCACAATTTACTATGGATTGCAATGCACCCAGCTTTATCAAACAGGGCCCTGAATACGCATCAACATTTTCCCAAGAAAACTGAGCAGTTGCCTTTGTTATTGCAGTTATCAATCCTGATCCTCCAGTACGACTGCTCTGCATGTTTTAGAAATATCTCTGTTGCAGCACACCTGCTTCAAATGGTTGCATGAGCTCCTCAGAAGCTATGGAGCACTACAGATGACTGCTGATCATTCCTTCATATTTCAGCTGTGTGGCAGCAGGAATAGACCTAAAACTTGTAAGAGAATGGAACTTGAGGACAAGGATGGAGAACCACTTGCCTAGATGACTGAGAATATGCACAGAAATATTATTATAAAGTTGTTTGATTGTTTTACTCCTGTTCTCTTTCCTATTGTTATTTTGTGCAGCTCATGGCGCATTTAGATGATTCAGAGAAAATGTGGTAGCTTATGATTAAGAAATCAAGTACTTCCGAAAGCTGTCAGACCACCAGCTTGCACTGTCAGAAAACTTAGAAACCAGCACTCTCTAAACTACTTGTAGCTCCTGTTTGTGTTTTTTTACTCACGATGATTTGGTGTCGGGGGTCAGCAGGCTGTGGTCTCCTCTCAATGGAATACAGAAACGCTTCATACGCACGTCTTCCTCAAATTGATGCTGCTATGATAACTGGACAGAGACTCAGCACCCAACACACACTCAAACTTACACACTGATGGTGGGGGGATGGGATAGAATGACATCAGCAGCCCTGATTGGTTCAAATGACAGGAAGTGGGATTAAACAGAGCACCTCGTCAGGATTAATTAATCTGCTGAGACCACAGAATGTTTACCTCAGCATGTGTGCGTCTCTGTCTCTCTGTGTGTGTGTCTCATTTAGAGCACCGATACATACTGAATTAGTGACCAGGACATATAAGTTCATTTATCTGTATCAAAAAATATTGGACTCCTTTGAAGAGCTAAAGTTTAAATCTGAGCTGCAGTGAAAGACCACCTGTCCCTTTTTTAAGCATTTATTTTTATCAATCACTATCTGCAGTGTTTCTAATTGACCTACAGAGCTTTTTATAATACCCATACCTTGAACTTTTCATATATCTTTGCTCTTTGTATCCTTTCTTGGGAGCTTTTATGTCAGTGTGACAGCCCAAAACCATGGCCACACCTCAAACTGGATCATGTACCACTAGATTATGCACTTACATTTATTTATTCCTTCATCCACATGGGTTAATCTTAATTTTTGATAAGTTTATTGATTAATTTAAATATAACTGTTCTATTTGTAAGCTAACATTGGGTTAATTTCTTATCCGCTTAATTATCTTGTTTTTAGTTTGGGATCATTATTAAATGTTTTTTTTTTTATTTTTCCTGTCTTTCTTTGTTCCCATAGAATCTTGCCCTGAACAAGATGGCAGCCACGGCTCGGAGCCCCTGAACTGATCTAATAGTGAATCTGGAACATTTTTATTAATATTTTTAAGGACAAAACTAGAAGATGTTAAGAATGTGCAGTTGTGCTGGGTACATGGTGCTGTCAGGTGTTTTTTTATGTGATAAATAACTTTTTTTTAGACTTAAGCACTAATTTATACATGTAATTAGGTTATAAATATGGTTAATTATACATAATGTTTTTATGTGTTCACTTTGAAATTTTACTGCATTGTCTGATGTTGATTTTTTTTTCTTGAAGTCATTCATGATTGTTTCCTACATATCCCACAATGCACCGGGCTAGAGGTTAAAAGTACCAGGCAGCTGAAGTGGGCGGAGCTTAACCCTTCTCTTGTACTGTTATAGCCAACATGGCGGCGCCGTTGGAGGTGGTGCTCAGCAGTGATTCGGGCTCTCAGCTCTGGAACTGCACCGTGTTCGACCTTCACAGCGGCTCCAGCCTGCTGTCCTACCGGGGAGGGAACTCCACAGCTCGGACCCTCACCGTCCTGCGTGGGGAGTTCCTGCTCAGCGCCCAACTGGGGAAGAACTTCATCAACGTGTGGGAGATCCAGAGGAAGGTGAGAAACCCCGGCCGTACTGAGCCGAACAGTCCAAGTGAGCGGTACCGAACCAGCACACCGAATACTGGCCCTCACAAAGCACCAAAAGCTAGAATCCTGACAGAATCAGGGATTTCTGAGCCCATTCCCTCATTAGGCAGTTTAAACATCCCGCCTGTTTCCAAAGAGGAATGGAGTCAGAAAATAGAAATCAGACCAGATTCGGAACCTGGAGGTTCTGGTAGCTGTTTGGGTCAGAAACTGCAAAGTGAGTTTTCTCACGATTAAAGCCTAACTCACCCCCAACTATTATTTTATGGGCAGATAAAGGGCATACACCGGCTCTATGGGGTTTTAATGTTAGCTCAAATTTATTAGAGTTCAGCACGTTGATATTGCAAGATAATGTTGCAAGTGTGATGGAGAGTTCAACAGTCTGATGGCAGCGGGGAAAAAGCTGGTGCACAACCTGCTGGATCTGCAGTGGATGCTGTGAAGCCTCTTTGCAGAGGGCAGCAGGGAGAACAGTCCACTACAGCCACTGGTAAAACTATAACTATGATAAAGATATGGTTCTGTGCTGTATGCATTGCATTTACACAGCAGTGAACATATATTAACACAGATGGGTGGTACCTGGATGACTGCCTTGATGCTGAACACATAATGGAATACTGCTACTGATGGGTAGAGTAGGAAAGTTAACTATCTACAATGCTGAAGTTGCTGAATGCTGAAAAATATGATCCATCCATCCATCTATCTATCCATCCATCCATCACAATGTAATTTTAAATGGGAAAGTTGGACATGCCTTCATTGGTGGAAGAGGACACACTCTTGTACCATAACTCTTGGTAACAATTCAATTTAATCACGAAATTTTAATTCTGTTTATTTTTATTGCACCAGTTCACATCACACATCATCTCAAGGCACTTTACAGTTCACCAGATCATACAGTCAAATTAATTCAAAGTTTTATATCTTAAGAAAAGCCAGTTGATTGCATCAACTCAATAACTGGAAGGCAATCCCTCACACTAAGAATGCTTGTAGTGACAGTGGAGAGGAAAAACTTCCTTTTAACCGGCAGAAACCTCCAGCAGAACCAGGCTCAGTGTCAGCTGCCATCTGTCGAGGCCGCCTCGTGTTCAAGGAGACAGAAGCAGACATACAAAAGGCAACTGTAAAAGGCGGCCCCGTCCAGGAAACGCACAGCCAGGCAGATGAGCTTAGAGTCAGCTCCCATGTCAGAGGATAAAGAGAGCACATCAAGCCAGTCACAGTCAGAGAAACAGGACTACACTGAAAAACAGGCCGGTCTCTAACATCTATAATCAAAGGTGTTGATAGTAGCAGCACAGCTGATATTTCTCTCCAGGATGGCGTCACAGCCAAACAGGAACAGACCAGATTAAGCTACTATGTGAAAAAGCATAACGTTGGAGATTGAACTAACAGATTCTGCAGAGTGCGAGAATAGAGAAAGAATGATGAAATGGGGGACTCTATGCCTTCCAGAAGTTTAAGCCTATAGCAGCATAACTATAGAGATAGCATTGGATAACCTGAGCCACTCTAACTATAACCTTTATCAAAAAGGAAAGTTTTAAGCCTAACCTTAAAAAGTAGACAGGGTGTCTGCCTTTTAGACTAAAACTGGTAGTTGGTTCCACAGGAGAGGAGCCTGATAACTAAAAGATCTGCCTCCAATTCTATAACTTATCTAGATATGAGTTGACAATAATTACAACAATTGATTCATTCCAATTAATCTGATTAATAATTGTAGTTCTATTTTTACATGGTTAAACAAACATCTAAAATCACTTTTAACCTCCTGTTAAGTATTTTTCCTTCATGTCCAACCTTGTTTTTTTTTAAAGTTGTCAATTGATAACAGTAATGACTGTTGGATATTAAGACTGAATTTATTTATTTAGCCTCAATATGCTTTGCTAACTTTTTTTCATCCATAACTAGGAAGAAAGGGTACTCTTTCAGGTTGCTTCTACCCCTAAAGGGACAAAAGCTGACATAAGTGCACAAAACCACATAACTAAATGCATATTCAAAATGTGTGGAGAGTTTTTTTTATATCTGTGTGTTTTAAATAAAACTGCTCCTTTGAGTATTTATTTATTATAAAGATGTAAATACAGGTGATTCTAGTTGAAGCAAATTCCTCTCAGGTCATTCAGTCAGATGCTCTGACCCCTCTGTGTTTGCAGGACCATCTGCAGCAGAAGATCGTCTGTCCAGGTGTGGTCACTTGTCTCACCGCTTCACCCGATGGGGCCTTCCTCGCTGCCGGAGTGGCCGAGGCCATCTACCTGTGGGAGGTGATTCTACTGGTTTCCATAGAAACCCTTAGCTTCTGTTTAAAGCTGAGCGTGTTTATGATCTCTGTGCTCTGATTGGTCCAGGTTTGCACAGGTAAGCTGCTGGTGGTGCTCAGTCGACACTATCAGGACGTCACGTGTCTGAAGTTCACAGACGACAGCAGCCATTTTGTTTCTGCGGGCAAAGACAACCTGGCACTGGTGTGGAGTGTGTGCAGGTAGGTCACCTCAGTAACAGACGCGCCTATGTGATGGGTTACAGGTCCATTCTGAACTGGATCTACAGAGAGTAGGGAAAAGATCCAAAACATCTGATCCAGTATTCTCAAGGTACCAGAAGCTGAAAATATCTGAACCGAAGGAAGGGACATTAAAGGAAATATGAAGCTAAAATGAGAAACAGAAAGGGTAGCAAAGTTCAGAGTAAAACATTATCAGCTCAGGTTGATGCTTTTGTTATGATGTCAAGTTCTGAGGGTCGTCATAGTAACGATGCCCCATCAAATGCAGACCTGCTTATGCTCAAGTTTAAATGTTTTGTATAAAAGACGAAGCAGTGGGTTCATTAAAATCCCCACTCTCTAACTGGGCCTGGTTCTAAGGCTTTGTTGCCAAAGAAGCTGAGGTCCATTTAGGAAATGACACCTGCAGTGAGCAGTAGCGACCACCAGGTGGAGCTGCTCCTCTTCCTTCAGTTTGGTTGTTGGTTGTGCTGGTTGATGCACTGGCTCCTAAAGTTTGGATCAGGTGAATCTTGATCGCACAGCGAGACACATCTGTCTTATTTAATAATTCTACATCTTAAAAAATAAATTGAATCAACGATATCCAGATAACAGTATTTTAATTTACTTAACAAGGTAAACCTTCTTACTTCAGCCAAATTACAGGTGAGAACAGAGCACACTGGATGTGAGCGTGAGGCAACGTTCTTTTCTGTCTCTGTTATTATAAATGGCTGTGTGTACACTTTTTGATTATGGGTCGGGTTGCACTTTATTATCTATGGATCCATGTGTTTCCAGTCAGGTTTTAGATGGAGATAAATGTGGGTAAAGGGTCTGAACTCTACGGATGCGGGCGGATACAGTTTTGAAAAATCCAACCTGTGCAGGACCATAAACTGGCCATTGGTACTAGTTGATTATAGGGCTACAAACCCATTAATCAGTCAATTATTTTATTGATCAATTGATTAATAATTGGATAGGTTCCTTTAAGAAGATAATTTACTAAATTAAACCAGGTGAAACTAAAACCTTTCCACTTGAGGAGTTCTGGATGGAGAATAATTACAGACAAAAACATTATTATTATTTTTTTTCAATCTTAATTACAAACACTATATATTATTTTAAAATTGTCAGCTAAAGGAATGTTTTAGAGTTTCTATACTCCAGTTAACGATTAATGAATTACTAAATTGGTTGATCATTATTTTAAAAAAAATCGATTAATTCGATAATTGTTTCATGCCTGCTTGGTTTAGAAACCGATGGTTGGTAAGGTCAGAGACAATCTGTAGGCTCTGTCTCAGGGCAGGGAGAAAGTGAAATCCATTTCCTTATTATCTGTCCAAATTACATAAGTATGTGAAACAGTTTTAGCGTCTACTCTCCCCCAAGAAAATCAGAAATGAAAAGGTTTCTCGGTGAAGTGAAACAGAACTATCAGCCATAATTTAACAGCCTGTCACATAGATAGATAGATAGATAGATAGATAGATAGATAGATAGATAGATAGATAGATAGATAGATAGATAGGCTCATATAGAACATGTATAAAGAGTATTTATGAAACCTTCTTCATGTAGATATAAATATGATTGGAACCAAAATTGTTTGTTTTTGTGCTTTGGCTGAACTGTTATTCCAAGTAAGTATATAAAACAGTTGATGTCACTAATCAGCAGATCACTGGTCTCTTTCCTGTCTCTCTCAGTGTGGTCCAGTTGGATTTAAGTCACACTCCTGAGCCACGCCACGTCCTGGCCCGTCATTCCCTGCCCATCACAGACCTTCACTGCGGTTACATGGGACCTCAGGCCAGAGTCGCCACATCGTCACTAGATCAGACTGTAAAGGTAAGAGCGTTTAAGGGTGGTTTATACTCAGAAACCAGTTTGTCTGCGTGTGTGTCGCAGTTAACGTAGATATGCCCCCGCCCCTTCAGCAGACACTCTGGTGCACCTTTCCAAAATTGTAGGTGACCGCAGACAGGAGGCCTCTGATTGGTCAAATCTACATCCGCTCTACACTATGCATATTCTCTGTTTGGTACCTTATCGGCTTGTTTTCTTTGTATGACCGCCATCGAGGAAAAAGACTCATTAAGAAGGACCGGCTAGAAGAGAGAGGTGCGCGAGAAAGCTGGGACCCTTTTTCCACCTGGATCCCTGCTATTTTTCACCCTCATGTCCCTCCATTGTCGCACAAACTTGCTCTCACTTCCTCACCTCCTCGGTCGTATCTAGACCCACTGCTAGTTCGTGATTTTCCACTTTTGCGTTGTGGCGTGGAATAACATAGCGCTGACCACGCTTCAAAATTGAGTATAAATCAAAAATATCTGTGTTAAACCTGCGACAAGCTAACTTCGACACACTGCTGCGGGACTATAACCAGCCCTTTACCTGGACAGGTGCTGATCCTGGCTGATCTGTCCCATAAGCAATCCACATGCACAACCAGAAATGCATCTGTTTGAATGCCCCTCAGGAACCCGTACAGAAAGAAATGATTTATATCCTTAATTATAAAAGCACACTAAACAACATGGTGCACAATAATGACTTTGCTGATAGAACTGATGTGTTTACATACAGCATCCGTTATATCCGCATGTCTGATGTCATGCTCAGAGCAGCCCAGTGAAATACAATTGCAGCCATTGATCTGGATATTATATGGGTTTTTTTTTATATTATACATTATTTAAACAAGTGGGAAAAAAATAAACAATAAAAAAGAAAAAGGTTAGAATATTATACAAATATAAAACCAAACATTGCCCAGCTAGAAGTTTGGATCCTGCTTCTGGGATAGATTGGGTATCAACGAGTCAATGTAGCCCTGGAAGAGCTGCTGTAAATGTTGGGTTGGAGTTTATAGGAATCATACTAGGATTGTATCTGATTTCAATTGGTGTCTATCTGCAGACCTGCACACTGAGGTCTCCTGCACTGTCAGAACTGAAAGCTATTAAAACCCTTTCAAAGTAAAAATAAAAGCTAGTATACCGGAATTAATTTACATTCCCTT